TTCCGCGTAGCGTACTCTATTGTTTAGAGCTTAAGTTTAGAATTCATTGTATTCCTTACGGTTCGTTTAGAAAGTACTGATGTCAAGTTTATTCTGTAAATGCAGAATGTTTGGCACTAGGAAAAAGATGTGGTCTACGATGAAAGCAAAGAAAGACCCAAGGAAGAGGAAGGTTACTCCAACGATTCCACTACGAAGGCCGACCAAGAAGGCAGAGTTAGAGACTAAGGAATTGTTTCCAATGGGTGTTGCTTCGGAGTACAAGGCAATGACGGTTTTTGCTGTGCGAGATTGGCCACCATACTGTGGACCTAACACAACTTCGGTGGTGCTCAAAGCTGAGCCAAGCGGAGAGGAAGACCCCGAAGAAGATCAGGATGGAGGAGATACCGAAGCAACCAAGGAGGAGAGCACCAGTGTTCAAGGATGATTGCTCTTCTAAGAGTAATTTTAATTATTAGTAGTAGTGGAGATATTACTAAAAGCATAGTACGGATTTAATCCCGTACATGGGTATTTTGTTAAGAATAGTTACGATTATTCGTTTGACAATTTATGGTTTGGAAAAGTTCTTAATAAAGTGAACTAGGGGTTTTGGCTATCTTTATTGTGTTGGTGATAGCATTTTTGGATTTTTACACATATGGTTTTATTAGACAATATTGGAATGTGTATGTTGTGATGATAAATGATGGATCACAGTTGAGTGATTGGTTTTAAACAGGCAAACAGATATTGGCTTGTACGTACGTCGTGTTGAGACGGGATGATTACCAAGAGGTTTACAAAAGAACTTGTGCAAATCAATATGGTAAGTTTGGTTTAGAAGGAGGAATTCCTAGGGTAGAATGATAATCTAAAAATAGGAAGATTGAGGTGTATTTTTGTTTACTTTATGGGTTTTGCTCTACAGAGTATTCAGAAATCGGGAATTTTCATAGATTGGTTGGTGATACACATATACAATAGACCTTAGGATATTTATTTTTAGGCGATAGTGCCATACAGGATGGACCTGTGACACTAGATATTGGTAAACTCAGATTTCTAGCAAATCTTTTGATCTTGTATAGGCACACTTATGACGCGACACTTGGGATGGATTGGTTATCACTGCCATGCTCAAGTTATTTATTTTGGATAGGTCTGTTGTTTTCACCATACCTGGTCAGGATATGTACGTTGTTACTATGCCACATTCTAGCGGGGTCATTAGCACCTATTTGTACCATGTGGAGGAAGAAACGGAGGAGGGGACTACTGTATCATTGGACAACATACCAATTGTACAGGATTTCCCGGAGGGTTGCCACATAGTTGCGAGATCGACTTTGTGATAGATTTAGCTCCAGGCACTACGCCTATTGCTAGGGCACCGTATAGGATGGCACCAGTGGAGATGCGCGAGCTGAGGGATCAGATTCAACAGCTACTCAGCCAGGATTTTATTCGCCGGAATACTTCACCCTGGGGAGCACTGGTGTTATTTGTGAAAAAGAAGGATGGTTCGCTCCGCCTGTGTATAGATTACAGGGAGTTAAAAAAGATTATTATTCGTAACAAGTATCATTTGCCAGGATTGATGATTTACTTGATTAGTTGAAGGGAGCTACCTATTTCTCTAAGATTGATCTGTGGTCTGGATATCATCAACTTCGGGATCGGGAGCAGGATGTTCATAGGACAGCGTTTCTCACTAGATATGGATCTTATGAGTTTCGGGTGATACCGTTTGGGTTGACTAATGCACCAGTTGTATGCCAAGTTCGAGAAATGTGAATTTTGGCAGTGGGAGGTGAAATTTCTGGGTCGCGTGGTGTCAGAAAGGGGAATAGCAGTGGATTCAGCCAAGGTTTCAGCGGTGGTTGAATGGGGACAGCTTACTTCACCTACCAAGATTTAGAGTTTCCTCAGTTTGGCAGGATATTACAGGAGGTTCATTCAGGGGTTCTCAAAGATAGCGTGACCACTCACTCATCTGACTAACAAAGGTGTATGGTTCGTGTGGGATGAACATTGTTAGAAAGCTTTCGATGAGCTGAAGATTAAATCGACTTCTGCACCGGTCTTGTCTACCCCATAGAACGGGATATAGTATCTTGTCTATACAGCTGCTTCTTTGCAGGGTCTGGGATGTGTGTTGATGCAGGAGGAGCGACCGATTTCGTATGGATCTCGGAAGCTTAAGCCTCACGAGCTTAATTATCCCACGCATGATTTAGAGTTGGCAACTGTGGTCTTTGCCTTACGCATTTGGAGGCATTATCTGTTGGGTGAGTCCTTCAGATTATTTAGCGATCGCAAGAGTCTGCAGTACTTGTTCACTCAGCGGGAACTGAATATGAGACAGTGCAGATGGTTGGAGTTTGTGAAAGACTATCATTTTTTTATACAGTATCATCGAGGGAAAGCGAATGTCGTGGCACATGCATTCAGTCGCCGACCTGTTGTTAATCTTTCTACTGTATTCACTACGGAGTGGAATGCTTTGAGGACGATGGATGAGTTGTCGGATGCTTTCATGGGTTGCATGGTAGTTACACCTTTTATCATTCACAAGGTTTTGAAGACACAACTCACGGATCAGTAATGCATTGACAAAGTTGCAGAGATAGCTTCTGGAGAGGTCCCATTTTACTATGTTGGGGCTGATGGAGGTTTGAGGTACAAGGGACGGTTAGTGATACCTTCTGCTGACGATTTGAGGAAGGATGTGATAACCGAGACTCACCACTCTGAGTTTTCTATTCATCCGGGAGGAGACAAGATGTATCAGGATATAAAGTGGTAGTTTTGGTGGGCTGGTATGAAAAGGGACATTGCTCTATTGGTCTCACGATGTAGTACTTGTCAGATGGTCAAGATTGATCATCAGAGGCCGCCGGGAGCTCTACAGCCACTGCCGATACCGGAGTGGAAATGGGAAAGCGTTTCTACGGATTTTGTGGAAGGGTTGCCAAACTCTTTCAAGGATCACAATTTTATTTGGGTTATTATGGACAAATTGACGAAATCAACTCATTTCTTGCCTATTTACATTAACTTCACTTCGAAGCAATTGGCAAGACTTTCCGTTACTGAGATTGTGAAGTTGCATGGCATTCCATTGTCTATTATATCGGACAAGGATTCGAGCTTTGTGTCAAGATTCTGGAAGAGTTTTCAGTTGGCTTTGGGTACAGAGTTGCATCTTAGTACTGCTTATCATCCTCAGACTGATGGACAGACTGAGAGGGTTAATCAAATCATGGAGGATATGCTTCGGTCGTGTGTTCTTGATTTCAAGGGCCACTGGGAGGATTATTTACCACTTGTGGAGTTTGCCTATAACCATAGTTTTCAGAAGACTATTGGGATGGCACCATTTGAGGCATTATACGGTCGACCGTGCCGATAGCCTATTTGTTGGATGGAAGTTGGAGAAAGCAGATTCTTGGGTCCTGAGTTCATCAAGGATACTTCTAAGAAGATAGCTCTTATTAAGGATCGCATGAGCACTGCCCAGAGTAGGCAGAAGAGTTATGCGGATCGTCGCACACGTGTTTTGGAGTTTCGGGTTGGGGATCAGGTTCTCCTCAAAGTGTCGCCTATGATGGGTGTAATGTGCTTTGGGAAGAAAGAGAAGTTGTCTCCGAGGTTTGTCGGTCCATTCATGATTACGGATCGAGTTAGAGCTATCGCTTATTGGTTGGCACTTCTGGATAATTTGGATCGTGTACATAATGTGTTCCATGTTTCCATGTTACGGAAATTTCTGCGAGATGAGATCGGTATCAGCATATCGATATTGGGGAGATTGAGTTACAACCGGATGCAACTTACTTAGTACCACCGTGTTGTATTATAGACAGTCGGGATCAAATCCTTCGTAACAAGGTTATCCCTTTAGTTCGTGTCCAAGGGAGTTATCACAATGAGGCTGAGTCTACTTGGGAATAGGAGGATGTCATTCGCTCGCAGTTTCCAGAAATGTTGGAAGAAGGTAAGAGCGAATTCCGAGGACAGAATTCCTTTTTTTAGGGGGGAAGAATGTAATACCCCTAATTTTACAATGATAGTCTCGGTATTTTATTTATTGTTTTTATTTTATTTTTTGGGTGATTATTTATTTAATTGTTTATTATTTGGGTTGATTTAACTGTTTAATGGTATTTCATAATTATTTAAGTATTAAGTGTTTTTATATAACTAGTTTGCTTTACCTGTTTGGTCGTGTATTTAACTGCTATGTTATTAAACTGATATTTTATTTAAATGTGATTTTATTTGGTGTTTTTACTGTGTGAATTGATTAGATTGTTTTGGTGAATTAAAAGTTTAGATTAATTAATTTTGTTCTATTATTGGTAGCAGACATAGCGTGTATAGGATAGGTTTGTTTATGGGCCGATTATGTCTTGGTTTAGGGTTTAATTGGACTTAGGTATTATGGCCTATAAATATACGAATAGTGTTCTGCCTAGGGTTTGAGAACTATATTCACGATATAATAAAGGCAGAGAGTAGCTTGGAGCAGTCAGAGTTCGCCAGAGGATTTGGGAAGACGTCGGTGTAAGGCAAGTTCTAATCCTAACTCTATCACGCTGACTTGTATTCTTTACATGTCTAATGCAACTCCAGGGATGTATAAGGACTAAAAGTAAACTGGTTTTAATGTCTCTGTTATTTTAAACTGAACGTAGCCTTGAGTTATATTGTTTGGCTAAAATCTTTCATATGTAACTCATAAAGTAACTCATGGAACTGAATGTATAATTCACGTAGACTGGTATGTAAAGAGTTAAATTAGTTTTCAACACTCAAAGAAGCCTTAATATTACTCTGGTTCACATGATTAATTTACTTAGAACAGTGCATGTTCTTGAATGGTAAACTGCTCGTTCTAACTCCTTATTGCATAATTCTTGCTATGATTGTTGTCGATGAATGACTAAGGCATTAAACTATTTCTAGATCACACTAGGACATAATTTTAACCAGTAGTAGCCTTAGAATTTAAGATGGATGCACTAGACGTTGCCGGAAAGGACACAGTTGGAGAAGATGAGCAGATTAAGAGCACAGGGGCAAAGAGGCGGCTCCCCACAAGGGGGAACCGACTCCAGGAGAGTTGGAGGCGGCTCCACATGGTGTGGAGCCGGCTCCATTCAAAGGGGAGGCAGCTCCCCTTGTGGGGAGACGTCTCCTTTTTTCCTTTTGTTGTGTTTTGACACCTTGGGTTGATTCCGGGCTTGTTTCTGATGCTACCGGTGTGTTTAGGAGTTGTAATTGGGAGATTTGGTTGAGGTCTATGATCAAATTAAGTTTTGAGAGGGCTTGATAATGCATGATAAATCAAGTAAGGTTTGCTGTTAGAACAGTATATAATTTTTTTAAGTAAAATTAGCAGACTGTTTTTGGACTGAGGATTTAAATTGCACAACCTTATGTGTAGCAGTTTATCTGTGAATGGAGTTATTGTTTGGTCATGTGTCTGCAGTAAATTATAAGCATATTAGATTACAGGATGATTATATGCTTATAATGGATAAATGATGAAAACATACATTAATTATGTCATCAGTTCTTGAACAATTGTGTAGTATTATAGGGTGAGCATGTAAATCTTTATATTCTGTTATGCCATCTTGGAGTTATACTGATGTTTATATGCATGACATGTGTTATCAATTATTGGATCTTAGGAAAATAGTATGTATAAGCCTATTAAATAATACAATTTTATCATGCTTAATCTGGAACCATTGATGTTTGTATCTAATGTTTTACTATAAATTGTTAGATATGTGAAATAGTTGATAACTACAGTTATTACTTATTTTATCAACTGCTGGATGATGGATTACATGCACCGGTATGCGACGATGGCATGTCTAGGTTTGGATTAGTTCACAGAATAAGGGAATGGATTCTAAAATAAATCCTACTCATACTTAAGTCAAAGAAGCTGCACAAGTTGAATGACTAACTGGATTACTTGTTATCTATATTAAGTCAAAGAAGCTGCATAAGTTGAATGACTAACTGGATTCTTCATGGATAGTTAGGATCAGACTTTAAATATATTTTTATGGTACCGCGATATGAGCTTGAGTCTCAAAGTCGTCGGTTAGGAAGTGTATATGTAGTAGGATGCGTAGCTGGATATGAAAGGTTGAGGTGTACCGTGTTAAGTCTAGGTACTCATGCCCACCTATGGGTGCGTTTTCACATGTTGCCTTCTATTCAGGTTGAGACCCCCTCCATAGTCCAGTGAGAGTCTTGTAGTGTGAATATACATACGTATGAACTATTAGCTATTGTTGAGTTAGTTAGAATGTATATGCGTATCGAGTCTCTGCTTGAATTGTAGTAGGTTAAAACTTGTTCGTGAGCCTGACCCACTTCTATTTTTCAGGTTCTCGTCAGTTCCAAACTTAGACTTGATCAAGCTGAGCAGAGACTACTACTCACTCTTCTGACGAAGTAGAACTTTGCTCCATGGTTTACTCTAGATGTTCTTTGAGTAGTTTCATTTTAGTTTGGATTTTTATTAGGGGTCCACTAAAGATGGATTCCCGAGTTGTTTAAACTACTGAAGGTTTTGGATTATCGGTGTACACACAAATTTTTTAAGTCTGCAAATAGAAACAAACTATGGAGCAAATAGTAATTTATTAATTTGGAAAATTTGAGTACAATCCTTTGTAATAATATTCTTTACAAAAAGAATGGTCCTCTGATTCGATCTCCTTTTTGTTGTTGGTTGGATCCAAGGGCTGTACAAGCTTGTTCTTGAATCACCGTGGGATTTGATGAAGAACGACACGATTTGATGTGCTTGTTGTTGATCACCGTGGAATTTAACGAAGACCGGCACGATTTGATGTGCTTGGTGTTCTTCGCCTTTGGGTTTAGATGTTGGGGATGAGAGCTTCTGGATTTCTATCTCTGGATTTCTAAACTCTGAATTTCTGTATCCCTGACTTCTGAGTCTCTGGATTTCTGGACTTCTGAATTCATAATTTGTGTCCTTTGTTTCTGAACATTTGAATTCTGAATTTGTATCCTTTGTTGAATTTGAGGAAGAACGACACGTCTTTGAATGTGTTTGTTGTTCTTCATCTTTAGAGATGAAAGAATTTGTTGAATTTGGTGAAGAACGGCACGACTTTGGATGTGCTTGATGTTCTTCGCCTTCATGTTTACCCTCGGGATTTCTGGCCCTTTGAATTTCTGATTCTCTCAATTTCTGAACCTTCTGAATTCTGAATTTGTCCCCCTTCTTCCTTCCTCCAGGCCTCTATTTATATGCTTCTTGGATTAATAGGATGATGACACGTGTCCTCTCCTGATAAGAAAAAAAAATCATTACTGGGTCGAGCCGGTTATATTATGATAATTATCCTTAAAAATAATTATTCCAAATATATTTTATTAGGAATAATTATCTTTATATTTAACCATCTGGGCTGGGCTAATTAAATAATTTAAGTGAACCAAACTTGGGCCAATTAAATAACTTAATTAAACATTAGGCCCATATTTAATGGGTCCATTTGTCAAAACCAAAGCCCACTAAAATTTTAGTGTCTACAACCGGATTTAAGTATTAATTGTTAAAGGATTTTATTTTAGTTTCTTCCAGCTGTTATTTATTTATTTCTTATTTCACTTTGTATTCCGTGTTCGTTTTAAATATTAATTGTTTGATATTCCCTCGGGTTAGGGCTTGGGCCTAATCAACCCGTGTCTTGGATCCGAGGGGTATCTCACTCTGATACCGCTATCCGGAATTCTTTAGAAGTTTTCTCAATCCCGCAATCCAATCAAGTGATGGATGCCAACCCCAAATGGCCCCCAACCCCTCAGTGAGGGTTCTAGTGTGGAATTATTAGGGTTTGGGGAACCCCCTAACAGTTTCCCAGTTGAGGAGGTTATTCACCTCCACTCCCCCCCCCCCCCCCCCCTAATTTTTCTTTTAGAAACCAAAAATGTGGGTGATAGGGTTAAAAAAAATTGTGTTTTATTGGATGGTTACGAATCCTTTACGGTGCCTTCAGTTGGTAGAACAGGCGGCTTGGCTCTCTCTTTTTCAAAAGAATGGACTTTTTCTATTGTGGATTTTACTGATTTTCAGATTACTTGTAAGATAGTAGGCAACAAAGGAGATACCCCTTGGTTTTTCACAGGGGTTTATGGGTCATGTACAGAAAAAGACTGAGCCTTCCATTGGCGTTATCTTCATAGCTTATAGTTTCAGTTGGGTCAGAATTGGATTGTGAGAGGAAACTTTAATGCTATTTTACATCGTAATGAAAAGAGGGGTGGTCATCTGAAGCAGGACTGGATGTTAAAGGATTTCAAAAAAAAATTAAAGGATTGTGCTCTTCTTGACATTCGGTTTAAAGGTTTTCCCTTTACCTGATAGAATAACAGAGAGATTGATAAACTTATTTTGGCTCGCCTGGATAGAGTTTTGGCAACTAGTCACTGGTCTCAGCTGTTTCCTCGTTGCATGGTTCATCATCTGATTGTTCAAGGCTCTGACCATAATGCTCTGCTCTTATGTCTGAATGACTCTCTTTCTCACTTTCGGCGAAACTTTCTGTTTAACGCCCGTTGGGTGAAGGAAGACGAGTTCAAACCTCTTGTGGTCAAAGAGTGGGACTCACCTATTTCTAATGCTCCCCTTCCCTATATCTAAAAGAAACTCCTTCAATGTCAGTCCGATATTATTCTTTAGTGACGGAGTAAATGTAATAACTCCCAGTCTAATATTCGACGGCTTGAACAGGCTCTATTGCGGTTAAAGGAAAGTGTTGACGGGTTTGATAAACATGTCTGCTTTCGGTTGGAGCAAGAATTAGGCAATGCTTAGCGTGAAGAATAGTTGTATTGGCTTCAAAATTCCTGAATTAATTGGTTGAAACAGGGCAACAGAAATACTAAAAAATTTCACTGAAAAAGCCAAGGTCCGTCGCCGTAAGAATGAGATTTTTAGGTTGGAGGATTTTATGGGTCAGTGGAGAGATTCGAAAGGTGATATTCGTCGGGTTGCCGAGGATTATTTCCAAGATTTGTTTGTTGTAGTTCCTGATCTGGCAATCTCGAGTTTTGGAGTAAGGTGCCCCCAAATGATATTTTGTTGAAAAAAGGTACTTTTGAAGAATTATGGTCTGCCCTTGCTTGTATGGGTCCTTATAAAGCTCCCGGACCAGATGGTTTTACTCCTTCATTCTTTCAGTCTAATTAGGAGGTTCTGAAGGGCGATCTTCTTCAAGAGTTCAATGATTTTGTTAATGGCCGTCCGATGCCTCATTCTCTTAATTCAACCAACCTTGTTATTATCCTAAAGGTGCCCCATCCTACTTCTATATCTAATTTTTGCCATTTCGCTCTGTGTAATGTGTCATACAAGATCTTAGTGTTCGCTAACAGACTGAAACTTCTGCTCCCTCTTCTCATTAGTGAGACTCAAAGTGTCTTCGTGCCAAACCATCTTATTCATGACAACATTATTCTGGCTCATGACATTCTCCATGTTCTGAAGTCCAAAATGAACGGTGACTTATGTTTTATGGCCCTCAAGTTAAATCTGGCAAAGGCATATGACAGGGTCAGTTGGGCTTTTATGGGAAAATTTCTTCGTCACTCGGGTTTGATCCGCGATGGGTTAATTTGATGATAGAGTGCATTAGTTCAGTATCGTATTCCATTTTGATTAATGGTGAGAGGGGTGCTAATTTTATTCCCTCCAGAGGTCTTCGGCAGGGGGATCCACTGTCTCCTTTTCTTTTTCTCTTTTGTACTAAAGGTCTATCTCTATTGTTCAATGCTTCTGATCGGCTTTCCCAACGTCTGGGTCTCAAGGCAGGGAGGGGCTGTCCTTTGATTTCTCATCTCTTGTTTGCGGATGATGCTCTTATGTTTTGTCGGCCAGAGATCTAGAGGTACAGCAGGTCAAAACTATCCTGGATCGTTATGCCACTTTGACAAGTCAACTGGTTAATTTGGCGAATTCCAGCTTGTATTTTCCTCCTAATACTTCTTCTTCCCAGAAGGTGACCCGTAAGCTATTGTTGGGTATTCACACTGTGGACTGGCATAATACTTATCTTGGATTACCCTCCTTTTTGGGTCATTCTAAGATGGTGGCTCTCAATTTCCTCTCTAAAAAGCTATCTGCCAAAGCAAGTCTTCTAAAGGGATCAATGATGTCTAGGGTGGGACGGGAGGTCCTTCTGGTTCTCTCGACTATTCCGGTCTTTTCCATGCAATGCTTTTGACTTTTGAAAAGAAATTGTCAAGTCTTATCTAGTCAGCTTCTTAACTTTTAGTTGAGTGGCGTGGAGCAGTCGAATAAAATCAAATGGATTAGTTGGTCTAATTTGTGTAAATCCAAGGATACGGGAGGGCTGGGTTTTCATGATGTTGAAGCCTTTAACATAGCGTTTTTAGCAAAGATTACTAAGCAAATGGAGGTTGGCGATAATTCTATGCTTTTAAAGACCTTTAAGCCTAAATATTTCAAAAACTGTAACTTTGTGGAGTTATTGGCTCAGCCAATGCTTCTTGGGTTTAGAAAAGTATTTCCTCGGTTAGGGTGGTGATTCGAAAAGCGATGAAATAACCCATTGGGGATGGCGAGAGGGTGCATTATTGTATTGATAATTGGTTGCCGGACCCCTTGAACCAGGTTGTTGCTTCTAAGCAACGTGGGCTAAATTTTTCCTTAGTTGCTGATTTGTTGTTACCATCCCTTCAAGGCTGGAATGTAAAGATGGTGAACCGCTGTTTTAATCATCGTGATAGAGACCTTATCCTCCAAATCCCATTGAGTTCTTTTCGGAGGAATCATAAGGTCTAGGGGAGCCTCTCTTTATGGTGGATTTTCTGTCAAAAATGCCTATCAAATTACTTTCTCTCTCCTTCACAAACTGCCGACTACTTTCTCGGAGACAAGCTCCAGCTTTGATGCCATTTTTGGAATTATGTGGCGTAATGTTTGGAAAATCAAGGCTCATCGTAAGATCATTCTATTTCTCTGGCAGTGTATGTATGATCGAATTCCGGTTTATTCCCAGCTTGGGATTAGGGGAGTTCCTTTTCCTCCTGAATGTCCTATTTGTGCTTCGGTGGTGGAAACTATGGATCATCTTCTATGTTCTTGTTCTTTGCTCGTTTGGTTTAGAAATTATGTCTGCTTCGGATTAAATTCTTTTCTTCCACTCCAACTGTGTGGAAAAAAAAGATGGTTTGATTTATGTGCCTGTTGGACGCCATCTACTGTTTCAGCTGATTGTACGAGTTTGGCAACATTTGTGTGTTGGTCTATTTGGAAGTGTCAGAATGATCTCATTTTTCAGCGGAAACGTTAAGATCCTTTTGAAGTTGTACAGCATGCTTTCGCTGCCTTTCAGGTGTTTAAGGAGATTACCCGTCAAAATAATCTTTTTCTATTGCCGGTTCCTCCTGTCCAGTTCCCTCTTGCAAGATGGGTTGTTTCAAACTCAATTTTGATGCGGCTTTTAATTCGAGTCGTAATATTTGTGGTGGAGGAGCGATTCTCTAGAACCATCTTGGACGGCCTATCAAATTTGTAAGAATGTGTCAACTCCTTCCTTGGCTGAATCTCTGGTTTTACGGGAATCACTCTTACTTCTAAGTCGCTTGGGTTACAGGAACGCGGTGGTTGAAGGAGATTGTAAACCTGTAACGCAATTGCAAGTCTCGGTGGAAGGTTAGGTGATGGTTTTTCATAATATCTGTTCTTCGCTTTCCCTTTGTTTTGGATCCTCTTTTGTTTGGGTTCCTCGTGGAGGAAATGGTGTAGCTCATCTTTTGAACAAAAAGGCTCTTGCAGCCAAATGTAGTGATTTGGAGTGGAGCATATAACCCTGATAATTATTAAATGCTCTTCTCCCTTCTTGATCCTTTTCTTCTTCTATGGTTTGATCTCTCTGTTGGTGTTAAAAAATTTATTTATATAAGGTTTTGAAAATAAATAATATAATATCAGGAACTTTTGGGTTCTTAAAAAGCCAACCTTCAAACCTTTCTATTGACCCATCAGTTATAAACAAATGAGAAAAAACCAAAGAAAAATAATTCTTTATAAAATACAGTAATAAATAACGCGTGATAGAAGTTTTGAAAAGTTTACTCCATATGTCATCTGTATTAAATGCTTTAGAGACTATACCGATGAATTGAACTGTATTAAATTAATGTTTAAGTAACCATTGTTAGAATTAAGATGAACTTTCTCTAAACTTTTTAAAGAGAATATAATACTTTAAGACTTATTTAGTTGGTCAAAAATCCCATTAAACTATAATAGTAATTATATTAAAACTTACATATCTTCATCATTTCATCAATAAACTTTTCAAACCCTACCATTTAAATAATAAAGAGAATATAATACTTTAAGGCTTATTTAGTTGGTCAAAAATCCCATTAAACTATAGTAGTAATTATATTAAAACTTACATAGCTTCATTATTTCATCAATAAACTTTTCAAACCCTACCATTTAAATAATGCCATTATTTTTAAATCTTCAAATGTTTAAGCTTCTGTATATATAAGAGACTTCATTAAATGTAGTTAAACTAGGACTCGTCAATAACATATCCATCCTGAGACAGATTATATAGTATAATATATATATATAGTCAATTATACCATTTTCGTTGATTCTAACATCTTTGAACGCTAGAGTCTCAACATATATATATATATAGTCAATTATACCATTTTAGTGTCTATTGATTTTGCATCAGAAAGGGGGAAAAAGTGGGGAAGATTTTGGCTGGTATAGGAAGTAGGGTTGACAAAGAGTCTTGTGTATATATTATTATTAATTGACATATCACAAATACGGTAACATCATACTCTTATTATCTTTCTTCTTGTGTCAGAAAACAAGACCAGACGGGTACACTTGTATTTCCAAAATAAAAAATAAAAAAGGAACCAACTATGAAAAAGATCAGAGGAAATCTTGAGACTATATATATATATATATATATTTTGATAAAAATCTTGAGACTATATTTACTCTTTCTAGTCTCAAGATTTCCTCTGAGCTTTTTCAACAAAAACAAGAAAACTAATCACTATACAAATATATAGTCAATTATATATATATATATATATATATATATATATATATATATAGTCTAAAGCTGATTTTTTCTTTAGTTAATGCCAAAAAAAGGGAGATGTAGTTATCCCAGATTTTTACGATTTGTGACAAACAAGTCGATTTTTATAAAGTGAAAAAGAATAACAATTTATGATAATATAAAAGCCAAATTAAAAAGAGTTCATACAAACATTAAATAAAAACAATTATACAGTGATTAGTTACCAAAGAAAGAGTAAATATAGTCTCAAGATTTTTATCAAAATATATATATATATATATAGCCTCAAGATTTCCTCTGATCTTTTTCACAAAAAAAAAAAAAAAAAAAAAAAAAAAAAAAAAAAAAAAAACTACTCACTATACAAATATATAGTCAATTATATATATATATATATATATATATAGTCTAATATCTCTTAACACTAGTTTAAAGTTGATCTTTTTCTTTAGTTAATGCAAAAAAAAAGGGAGATATAGTTATCCCAAATTTCTACAATTTGTGACAAACAAGTCGATTTTTATAAAGTGAAAAAAAAAAAACAATTTATGATAATATAAAAGCCAAATTAAAAAAAGTTCATACAAACATTAAATAAAAACATCAAAATACAATAAACACTGAACATCAAATCCATCTAGTAAATATTTCATAACATATCCATATAATTAATAAAACCTCCATCTAATAAAACCACCATCCACAAATCATCAAAAAAAACCACCCCAGCGCAACCCATACACCCCAACACCCACCCACCCACAAGAAACCACCCCACCGACCCACCCACAAGGAAAAAGCAAATAGTACTAGTCATCAGCCCAATAATCATCATCACCGCTGTCGTCGTCGTCGTCGTCAGGACCGCCGGAGGGGCTCTCTGGGTCAAGAGCAGCACGAACAGCCCGATCCAAATGGCGAACTTTGAGCCTGGCAAAAGACTGGGAGATCTGGACTTCATCCAACAATTTTTCAGCTGCCAACAACCGGCTTGACAAATCTTTGGCTACACTTTCAACTCCACGGCTTGTGTGTCCTTCTTCGGAATCAGCTTCCGGTATACATCAACGGTCTGGACAACCAAGTTTCCCTTTGAGAGCATGTTGAAAAACAGTGTCTGCAACGAGGGCAACAACAACACCTCCTCACCAGCCTATCATGACAAGACCATTTAAATGTTAAAATCCAAAACAAAAAAACCCAAAACAAAAAAACAGTGTTACAAAATAAATTTCTTAGCAAAAAAACCTTGTCGTTAATCATAACCACCAGTTTCTTAGGATCAATAAACTTTGAGGTCTGGTACGTGATGTCCTCAATAGGCATGTTCTTAATCAACCGCACGATCATTAGCTTGACGAGATTCGACTTACTCAGACTGGGTAGGTTTGACATCTAATTACATATTAAAAGATTCAGGAGAACAGTAAAATATATGAAAAAGAAAAACAAATAATTAAAAAAAAAAAAAGCAATCGAAACAAACAAGATAATGTAAAAAAAAACAATCAGAACAAAATGAGCATATAAAAGAAAAATCTGATTATTGAAAGCAAGCTAATGAAGAAGAGAGAGAGAGAGAGAGAGCTGAAGAACAACAACAACAACAACAACAACAATCAATACAAAATAAGCATATAAATGAAAAATCAGATTATTGAAATTATAACAAAGCAGCATAATAAACAATGAATCAAAACAAACATTAACCACTTAAGCAGTAGAAGATGTACATTTGCTAAGGAGTACAGAGAGTGAGAGTAAGAGAGAGAGAGAGGAGACAGATACAGAACTAGGGTTTCGGATTTATACAAACAGGGAAAATCAAAATTGCTTTATGGTAAATCTGAACCGTCCATTTAAAAGAAGCTTCCGGAATCATATAAATCAGCCGTTAAAAAGAGGAAATCAATCCAAACTTTCCCTATTGCACGTAAGTTTCTTCTAGACTCAAAATTCAAACCGTTGAATAACATACTAAAAAGAAATAAATCTAGCCGTTACTTTTCAATATAAAATATCTAGACTGTTGAATGCTTGACCTTTTTAACTGATACATTTTAGATGGAAAGTCATTGGATATACTCTTAATACTTCTCAATCATTGATGCCCAAAATTCACCCTTTTTTTTTTTTTTTTGACTAAAGTCAAATAGACGTGGCACAGCAACAAAATTCAGTGTACATTTTGAAATTAGGTGTGTTTTGAAATAATTGTTTCAAATTCAGTGAATGCACTGTATAGTTTAACTAGGTGTGTTTCAAATTCAGTGAATGCACTGTATAGTTTAACTAGGTGTGCTTGAAATAATTGTTTCAAATTTGAAAAAAAAAAAATTTATTAGAAATTTAAAATAATACTCAAGATATATGATAGAAATAATTTCGTGTTTTTTATTCAATTTTAAATTGTGATGAATACTACCAGTGTACATTTTGAAATTATTAGACACATTAATATTATGCTATATTTTATTCCTAATCTCTCCAAATTTTTAAATTTCTAACTGAATAATTTATTTTTCGTCTTGCATTATGTTAAAATCATTTTTGTAATTTAAGTTAGGTTTTGACTATTTTGAAAAGCTTCCCCTTGCTTGGAACAATTTCCAAAAACAGTTTTTAGAGAATGAGAACATAAAACTGAAAATAGTTTTTTGAGTTTAAAAATCTGCTTGGTAGGAAATATTTTCAAAATAGTTTTTAAAGAACAAAAAATCAAAAAACTATTTGGTTGTCTAAAACTGATTTTTTAAACTTAAGAAAATATATATATATATATATATATATATATAGATATATATATATATACCTATATTTTAAATCTTATGTGACTATACCATTACTATTTCCAAAAAAAAATATCTCATCAAGGAAAGATTTATTCAACAAACAAAGATAAATAAAGAAAATAAAAATAAAAACTAAATACAATCAAATTATACTAATATCATAATCTTGGAATATGATGAATGTTTATACTTAGAATAATGCTCAGTTATTAACAATAATCTGATTTTTATTCTTATCAAAAGTTTAATAATTAAAGATGCAATTAGGGTTAAATTTAGCGGAAAAAGATCAAATCAACTACTAAATTAAAAGCTTGTAACAATCATTCGAATTCAATGTGGGACAAGTCTCCCCTTGTAACAATCATCCACTAAATTATAAATGATAGATTCTAAATATTGTCAATTTTGTTATAATTATATTAATAATGCCTTTCTTTATGCAAAATCCTTTTTTAAAAAAAATTAAGCAAATTGTATTAATAAAAAAGGATTACAAGAAAGGCCTTTGGCCCAAATAATGACTTGCTATTGATAACTTCCATAGAATAGCAATGTGATCAAAATGGTGTATGCGTTTAATTAATTTTATATTCATATTATAAGCAAATAAGTAAAAATAGTAAAAATATTAATGGTGTGGTTCACAAATTGTGTTCTTAACCAAAGATAAGCTGCCTAATTACACTAATGAAATTGATTAAACATGGGCACTCTTGAAGTTGTACTCTTGTGCATCGAGTACAATCACTTGCCAATTTCTATTTCCAGTTTGGTCTGATCAATTTGTTATCTTTAAATA